TTTTTTTTTTTTGGTACCATGGATTGAACTCGGGTCTTTGTGCTTGTGAGGCAGGCGGTAGAACCACTGAGCTAAATCCCCGGCCCTAGATGAACTTTTTCACACATTTCTTACATAGTTACTCTTTAGTGTGAATTTTTGGGCCACAAAATGAAGAGATTGCATCAAATCTTTTCCAACTCTGCCTACAAAGTTTGCCCTAGTGTGCCTTCTTTCATGTATTTGATGACGTTTTTGTGTACTGAGTGCTTTCCCACATTTCTTACATACATAGGGTTTCTTCCCAATGTGAATTTCCTCATGGATTTGACCAGCACTCAGTTGGCTGAAGATTTCCCACATTGCTGATACACATAGTTTCTCCTCATTTATGAATTCTTTCATGTATTTGAAAATATTTTTGTGTAGGGTAAGTTTTCCCACAGTGTTTATCTACATAGAATGAATACTTTCTTGTCTTCGACAGTGACTGAACGTGCTGAATGCTTTCCCACATTGTTTGCAAACATAAGGTTTATCTCTAGTGTGATTTCTTTCATGTTTTTCATAACAACTCTGTGTAGTGAATGCTTTTCCACATTGCTTACATGCATAAGGTTTCTGCCCAGTGTAAATTACTTTATGGTTGTGAAAGGAATGACTATGAGATAATAGTTTTACACATTCCTCAGTTATATAGGGCTTCTCTCCAGCATGTATTCTTTCATTTACTTGAATATAATATGAAGACATAAAAGTTTTCTCATGTTGATTGTACACATATGTACTCCCTACACCATGATTTCTTTCCTGAATTTGAACATCACTGGGTGTGCTGGAGGCTTTTATATTTTTCTTAGCTAGAAACGTTTTCTCCCCAGGGTGAGTTTGTTCACTAAGATCAGAGAAGGCTTTCCCATATTGCTCATATTGACATTGTTTCTCTCCAGTCTTTCTCATTTCATATTTTTGAAATGACTTGAAATCACTGCAGGTTTTTCCATGTTCACTACATTTATGCAGAATCTCTTCAAATCTCAAATACTTGTTTACATCATTTCTTAGATTTCTTGAACAATTTTTATACTGTTCTTCCATTTTCTGGTTTCCACAGGTTCTTCCTATAGCACTCATATGCATACATGTTTCTCACATCACATCTCTGTAGAACTTCTTTTGGGGTAAATTCAGCAAAGCCAACTCCAACTTGGTAAAGCTCACACCTACATCCTCAAAGGCCACAGTCTGTTTTTGCTGAAGACTCTCCATTAGAAGGCTGAAGACTTTATGGTAGGAGCTTGAAGAAACTTGAGACCAGCATCCAAAGGCAATGGCAAACACCAGAGCTCATTTATGGCGTATACTTTGGCACCATGATACCGGAAGCCATCTCTTGGATTCTTGCTAACCATCTTCAAGATAGTACCAGAGTCACTTGTCTTTTTGCAAATGTGTTCTGCTTTATAGCAATAAATGTTCATACAAATGTAAGAGAAATTTCCTAGCTGTTTCTGAGTAATCAGAGAATGGAGACTTTATTAAGGATTTACGGAGACTAGAAAAAAATTAAGTTTTAAGACATTTGAGTATATAATGTTGGGTTTTATTTCTTAAAGAGTCTGTCTTTATTAGATAGTATACTTTAGGTTTGTACTGTCCAATACAAGTAATGATTAGCTGTATATGGCTATTTAAATTTTAAAATGATAAAATTTTAATTCCATAGTTACAATAGCTATATTTCAAGTACTTAATAGCTACATATGACTAGAGGTTATAGCATGTTAATGTAGATAATAGAACTTCCAAGTAATTGGTGCAAGTTTTATTGTATAATACTGATCTAGATATTTTCTCTTCTTTCGCCTTTTTTGAGACAGGGTCTCACTGTGTAACTCAGGCTGGCCTTGAACTTGTGGTAGTCCTCTTGCCTCAACCTCCAGAGTGCTGGGATTACAGGCGTGTGCCACCATGCCCAACTTTAAGGCTTAATTTAGAAAATGTTTTATATATTAGAGAAAATTGAGAATACATATAAATACTAATAATATTATTATCTGTGATGATCATACAATTTTTTTCATTTTTATGCATTGATTTCTAGTCTTTATCTCTAAAAATGTTATAGCAATTGCAATTGTGGAGAATATTATCATTTAATATAAATTAATATGCATTTTCTATTCTTTAAAAATATTGCAGATTGGTCTCAAACAAGTCAAGTATGTAGTTTTGGATGAAGCAGATCGCATGTTGGATATGGGTTTTGGACCAGAAATAAAGAAGTTAATTTCTTGCCCAGGAATGCCAACAAAAGAACAGCGTCATACTCTTTTGTTCAGTGCAACTTTTCCAGAGGAAATTCAAAGGTAAATTTTTTTTCTTCTTAAAAATAATTTGATTATGTATGTAAATATCCTATGGAGGTAGAAGCAATGTAAATAATCTTTTTGATAGGTTTCACTATTTCTAAAGATTTTTACACAGGTAATTTAAAAATAGGTTTATTCCTAGAAAGCTTACCACATTTTTCATTGTTTCTTACCTTTGTTTCTGGATTTACGTTAGAATCACATTCTGTTTAATGTGTGTGTGCGTTGTAGCATAGTACCTACGTAGACCTTAATAAGTGCTTACTGAGTGAAATTATTTTTATTATGCCCTAATTTCAGACCTAAATATATAGAATTTGGGAGTATTGGATCTTTGGTAGGAAATTCATATATAGGTGCCTATTATTGACATATATTTGAGGATCATGCTGTATACCACATGGTCCAGTGAATTCAGAAATTAGAGTGACTCATCCTGGCTAGGATGGCAACTCTTCTTCCTAGAAGCTGCCCCTTGCTTGGCACAGGAGATCCTGAAATGTCTAAGCAGCAGCATTAGCTTATAATTCAGTATGACTCTTGGTATTTTCATTATATAAAATGTTCTCTTTGGGAATCAAGAACTATATTTCTGTTGAATGTAGATTTGTGGGAGAAAGAAGAGTGGGAAGCACTGATCCTCAACTGGAATATAGGGGATTGATTATAGGTACATCACTTTTGTATCCTTTGGTTCTCATAGTCATTTACTAATTAGAGATCTTTGATTCAAAGATTTGCTGTGTCTGGTTGGACAATACCCTTTCCTCATAAAAAATTGCCTCCAAAATGTCCCACCAGTTATTCTTTCCATAGACTGTTCCACTGTTTTCTCAGGCTGACAGCTTCTAGGTGGTGTGCAGTGTATGACATGACCTGTGGATGCTAGGGTTATAGGTCTTTTTCTTTGCTGTATAGTTGGTTCCTTGGCTCGATAGAATGTTATGTGGGATCCCATGCTACTGTATCAGACACACTGGAAATCCTGGGATAATGGTTCTGGCTGTTGATTTGTTTTACTTCTTACTATGATCAAAAATCTTTCTGTGAAATTAAAAAGTTCTTTATTGGAGGGTAATCTAAATCATAAAAGCATTGGGTCAAGTTGGCATTTTTTCTTAGTGGTACATAAAATAATTTTTTAATGATTTAATTGCATCTTAAATTTGAAATGGTATATTTGCATTCCTACCATTACGTTTGGTACTATTTAGTAGAAAATTACCTAATAGCAGGTGATATTCTTCCTACTTGTCTCTTTTTGGATTTACCCTAAAGTAGGAAAGTATTTGAATGTTGGTCCCCCAAAATGACTAATATGTACTACTGCCAGTCAGTATTATTTGTTGGGAATCTTTTTTTATGAGCCACATTTATTAGCCTTGGAGATATGTGATAGAATAATATTCTTTGACTTTGAATTATTTACATTCTTAGTTCCTGACTCCTCTCTTCTTAAATACTACCAGTTGCCCAGTATTCTGCCCAAGACTTTTTCTTATTCAGCATATTCCCTGAGTCACTGTAGCATCCATTTCCTTGGCCTGCTCTTTTGTATAATAGTCTCAAAGTTATTCTCTATATTCTTGCTCTCTCTGTCCTAAACTCCAGAATTCAATATTTAACTCTTTAAGAATGATTTTCCTCTCAGGTGAATACCAGTAACTCATATTGATGGCAAAAATTGAACTTGGTGGGCCGGGGATTTAGCTCAGTGGTGCTGCTGCCTACCTCACAAGTGCAAGGTCCCGAGTTCAATCCCTGGTGCCAAAAAAAAAAAAAA